TGGATGTAAGATGGCAATGTATCTCTCCATTGTTAACGTAGATAATGTAATGATAGATGCTCCAACCATGGAAAGTTCGAAACCCCGTTAACTTGGCTAGCGGGAACAGTAACAAATAAAGGTGTCGCACAACACCAACTGCCAAATCAATAAAGGACTGAACAAGAATGATAAAATAACACGGCTTGCCTTTCAATTGAGAATATTTTAAGATCGTCATTATTGAAACAGCATTGAGTAATATCGTTGAAAGTATCAAGATGCAGTTCACAACGGTAACCAACATATTATTTATCATAAATTTCTCGGATGGAAAATTGACAATGACTTCTACTTTCTCCAAAACATGACAAGAAGCAAACAAGGCATTGCGCTCAACAGAATCATTTGCCAATATTCTTTGTAACGTATTTCTCTACAAGCAAGATTCACCTGACGATCAACATTAATGAAAGCTTAAGCAGCTGTATGTAAAAGCATCACTGTTCAAGCAACCCATATATGTATATTAGTATAATATTTAAGGAAAAAACTCTCTTCAAAATTGATGAGAATATTAGCAATAGTACATGGTTAAAAGCGGGCAAATTGCCTTATGCATGCATGATCATTATTATCTTGCATAGCGCATATATTACTGCATCTGCAAGAGAATGAGACTTAATATTGATCACATGAGTGTATACTTTAGATGGATCAATTTAACTGCTTAATATGTGAAAAGATATAATTTGTCTTTTTTGTTAATCCATTGTCCTCAAGAATAATTCACCTGCAATTAACCTTAAAATGATATCATGCATGCATGACATCTGCAAGACAACATGAAACGAAGTGCTATTCAGTAGTGGAAGCAATGAACTAGCTTCAGTTAATTGTTTTCCTAATAGGAAAATGGATGTATTTCATCTGCGTTGCCGCTTTCATTGGAAAACAAAATTCCCAGTATTTTCCGTGCCATCCAGTCACTTAATGTTTGAATCTTCAGAGGCAAATGTCATTTATATTTCAGTCAGTATAAGACACTGTAATAATAATACATATTAAGAATTTTACAGTTCTGATTGCCTAAGAGCAGTTGCAATTACGCGAGTGTTAATTTGAGTGCAATGGGCCTAAAATCGATATTGGCTATGCAAACTTTTCAACAACTTTGGATCCGTTCATGTGGAAGCTGGCCATCCGGCCCGGTTACGCCCCAGTAACAGCCCATGGGGTAAGCCCGATTAATATCTCTTGTATGAGGTATATTTTATCCCACGTACTTGGTGGCACAATTTTGTTGCCTTGGCAGTGTTGTGATAGTTCTTCGCTGGAAATAATAATCCCTGAAACAATATGGGTTGGGAATTGAGATTAGGTTTAAAGTTAGTCTCAGGGTTGGGATTAGTGCTGGGTAGATGTTAAGGTTATTTCCCGCCATTCAGGCGCGGGAGAGGAGCACATATACTGGCTTGGATGCATGGTTCACACGATGAAATAAGCATAAGCACAAGCAGCGGAACCTTTGATGTGCATAAACATAAGACGAACAAATGTTGTGTTATGCTTACGTTTATGCACATCAAAGGTTCCGCTGCTTGTGCTTGTGCTTATGCTTATTTCATCGTGTGAACCAGGCTTATAAGATCGAACTAATATGTTACATTATACTAGATTATTTGATAACTGCGTGATACATAAAAGTTTTTTGACGTTTCAACTTGTGAAACAATAAGATTCCAAAATAACTTTTTAGTACTTAATTGTAGGGCATATTCTAAAACTAGGTTAAACTTTTCAGTGTGATTGTTATAATATAATTAATAGTTATTAAACACAAAACTAAATAGCCATAAAAAATGTCAATTCTACTTTAAGTGAATTATTCTCAATATTTACTTTCGATTTCAATCTGTTTTTGAAGCAACTTCGAATGTTTGTTTATCTTTGGAACGAACATTCCGAAGTTAAAATAACCATTCGAAGTCATATTTCAAAAGCAAATTGAAATCGAGAGTAATATATATTCATCTCATGCAATTCTTTTTGTTGCCATTTTTCCGCCCAGTCATTTTTCTGGTGCTATCTTTTCCGATCAACGAGAATGTGAGATGTTTCTTCACTTTAACATTCCTTTTTCCTGCGCGCCTGGTTCATACCCGCAGCCCCCCGAAATTCTCTCGGCGGCGCTGCATACCAGCAACAAATAATGCCATTCCTTATGTTGATAGCACACGCCACTTTACTCATTATGCATGCCGTTATTTACGGAAAAAAATCACATGAATTGCAATATTAACCACCAATTGTCTATAAATCACAGTATAACACCGTTAATATTTTTCCGGTATTCAAAAGCCGTTGCATCACTTGCATGCCCATGGCTGCGATTAATGACTGTTTTGGAATTTCCGCCGAACAACAGCTGGTGTTGCAAATCAGTGAAATAGCGAGCTAACGGTATCAGTATATGTCTATTTTTGTGAGTGAACCTTCATTAAATTCAAAACGATGCGTACATATAAAACCTGCAATCATACTGGCAAATCGGCGTTTGTATACTGTTTGCAATGCAGCAATTTCATCACTGATTCATAAATGAGTCAAATATTAATATTAACAAAACGTATTCCAAAGCGAATGTTGATATTGTTTAACGAAGACAAATGCACTAGTATTTTAAATACCAGCAAAGTTAAAAAAAATTAGTTTGAGTGGAGAACCTAAGCTAAGCGAAGGATCTTCGATTGAGCGGGAATATGATGGTGTAAACTATGAAGCACTTCTTGTCAAGCTGTATGGTAAGTGCCATTTATAACGTGTACATTTTTTCTGTTTTGCACTTTACGAAAACAGTGAGCTTTTTATTTTAATCTGTTCCCCTTTTTACGAGTCCGATATTCGGAAACGGTCGTTGATTTCCGAGTACAGTACGAGTCGAATGTACTACGATGGACTGCAGTCGCGGTCGGCCCACAAGTCGCAAACGGTCAACATCGGTCAGCTGAAAGGTCGAACCTCAATCCAACCTCGGTCTAACCTCGGTTTGACCTGGGCGTAACCTCATGCAGTCCGACCTCGTTCTAGCCTCGGTTTAACCTAGGTTAACCTCAGTTTTTGTTAGGTTATTTCTGGACAGTACTGTATGTCTATGGAATATGCGATTGCATCACTAAATCCATAGTATAGAAATTGCAATTATAGCATGGCAATTGGATTTCCATACTATTTGCATATTAACGATTTTGAAAAATATTCCATATATAGAAACATTTTCTTCTGGATTTTCCTCTGTTTCGCCGAACTTGCGCACTTTAATTTCATGCAATCGTTATTTTGTTGAATGCATGCGCTGATTATAAACACGTCGATTTTAGCCTTTCAGGAATATTGAATCTTTGTACTTCTTACATAACCATGTTTAACTGCAATTTCACGCCATTACAAATATTCAACATTAAGTTAAATGCATTTTCCTGCAAGAACGCACAGAAGTTCTAGAATTTCTATAATAACAGCTTGGATTTCCCTTAACAAGACAGCTGCGGAGTGAGAGAGATACAACTTACCAAAAAATAGGATGATCGTCGACGTTTTGAGCGAAGACCAGATTTGGACAGAGAAAGCGGACTTCAAAGACGACGTGAAAATGGCGTGTTGTGCTCATGCATGTATGGATATGACACGCCATTTTCACGTCGTCTTTGACGTCAGCTTTCTCGATCTAAAATCTGTCTATTACAGTAAATTGACGATGTTTTATGATTATTTTTGGTACCCTTCCCTTTGCACCTATCTTTCTGCCAGCCCCCTCTTAGTAGTTTATACATTTTTCGTGGCAACTCCAAATATCGTCCGCCCCCGCCGTCGACATTAGTAATGACTGACTGCTCTCTTAGCATTTTAGGGAAATCTCGAATGGTCTGTACCAGCGCGCAGCGACGATAACAAGACCGCTGTTGCATGATTGCATGAGAGTAACAGCCATGCACCTGAGAAATAGAAGCAGAAATTCGACATTTTGAGGGAAGTTTTAGATCTTTGTAATTTATCTATCACAGTAAATTGACGATCGGCTTTGACGTCAGCGTCCTCGATCTAAATCTGTCTATAAATAATAAACTTCAATACCACATATTGTATTTTAGAGGTGGGTAATGGGACCTCTACGAGCGTTTGGGTTTTGCGTTGTGCAACTTTCTTATATATAAGGCCTACTCTGGGGCGGTAAATCGCCCTAAATCGCTGTGATATAATGCGATTTTGGGCGATTTTAGGCGATTTAAGGAAAAACTGGGATTTTCAAGCACTGCGATATAATGCGATTTTAGGCGATTTAAGGCGATTTAGGAGAAAATTCTAAATTTTAGGGATTGCAATTTAGGTGTTTTCAAGGTAATTGAATTTTATATTTTGCTCTGGTTTTTCCCACAAGGCAAAATATGGCAGGGTGGGTTAGAATAAACACAGTTAGAAAAGTGATATCATATTCTCATTGTTATGAAGATAAATAGTCTAGACTAACATAAGTAATCCTAATACTTGATGTAAGCGGTGACTGAAAAGCCCCAAAGGGGAGTGAGCTGAATAATGTAATGTCACAGTGGTAATGTTTTCACACACATATGCATTGTATGAAGCAAAATACAGTTATTAGAACATGTATGTACATTTTATATAAAGCTAGGTTAATAATTATTGTATTTAACCCGAATCATATATAAAGCTCAATATTCGTGAACTTTTCAACGAATGTCTTATTTAGAAGCCATTGTAGTTCATCCTGTGGGGTCATGTGGTCATTCATGGCTACATTATATACCACAAATATTGTAAACAGTTAATAAATATACTCTACTTAAGGGGCATGTACGGTACATAATTGCAAAATGCCAACCTATAACTAAACTAAACATGTCTTAGGCTAAACATTAATATTATTAATTGCAAAATATAATAGATATTTGATTTCCAAAAGAAGCACAGCCCACAGGGAGTAGAAACGCACAATGGGCCATTCCATTTAATATGTGCACCCCCCCCCCTATTGAGGGGTCTGGAAATCCTATGGGGAGGGAGGGGTTAATATTGGTAATTTCCGAGGGGGTAAATCAGTCGGTCCCTTTGATCTTCGAACAACATAGGCCAATTTCCAAGGGGGGGAATGTGTCGGCACTTTGATGTTCAATTTCCTAAGGGGGTAAAACTTTTAAGGACCCCTCAATAGGGGGGGTGCACATATTAAATGGAATGGCCCAATGTATTTATACAGTTACATTAAGCTATATTCCTATAAATTACCTACTATAAATTACCTTGTCACCCTTGTAAGTGAAATTGTCTTGTTTCGTATCTTGTCAACACTTCTTTATTTAGCTTGCATTTTATTTAAACTGTTTCAACAAACATGTTTTATAAAATTATGTTTGATATCTATATCCAGAAACTGTTTGAAACAGTATTGTCACGCATTCGGAAACTGTCGGCGTAATGCCGTAAAGTTTAATTTACATGAAGTATATCGCATATAAATGGTCGGAATTCTAAATTATTCTAAAAAATTACTAAACAAAATGTGGCACACCGCGTACTACATCGTGGTTTTAAGTCTTTTACCTGATAATTTGTCGAGTATTCTGCAAACAAGCAACAACAATGATTGTATGGTATGTACGATGTAATCATTGTTTTACTGTTTATTTTATATACAGGTCTGGAAAATTTAATAGATGAGAGTTGCAAAACTTGCAAATCTCGCTCATAACCTCAGTCACGTATGTTTTTCGTTTGATAGCCAATATAATTATAACTAGGAGCAAGAGTATAACCATGCACATGTCGAAGTACAACCATTGTATACAATGCAGTGCTCGATCTACATGCAACAGTGCACAAATTGCAGGATGACCTTATTATATACTCGTACTCATTGACTCTCATTATCATAGACTGTTGTTCTATTAAACAGCAATTAGGCTTTGAGAAGCCATGTATATTATAGATTAATTTGTAGCCCAGCCACCATAGTCCATATAAATTGTAGCCCAGCCTCCACATTTTACACCAATAATGAAATTAACCAGTAACTGGTAGTGTAATGACTGTAATGGAATGTATGGGTCTTTCATATCCCAGAATTGCCTAATTATTGTAAAGTCTGCATAAAGCAGAAAAAGGCTCTGTTTTTATTAATGACCGGAGCCTATTGAGTGACTAAATATTGTCAGCCTAATCCACTTATTTGATTTATCCATGTTGCA